CTGTGTTGAAAGATACATCCCTCTAATGTGTTTACATTACATGTTGCACTTTGTATAAGAAAGTTTCGTAACACAGAGTCTGGAACTTGGCTCTGTGACCCACGTTCACGCTCACCCTGCCTGTCAGTGCTCAGGCCCTCACTGCTGTCTGCAGGGGAGCGAGTGAAGGCAGCTCTCTTCGGCCCTGGCACCACCCTCTGAGTGGCAGTGACAGCAGTGACTGTGTGTGGACATGCAAAGTGTTATTCCAAGAGCTTTACATGCGTTTCTGCATTTAATAATTAAAGCCTTCCTGTGATGAAGCGTTTTATGTTTTTAATGTATAATACATTTTATTTTGATATTGACAGACTTCAAACCTCTGGAAAATTTACAGGAGTAGTACAATAAACGCTTAGATACAGTTCACATAAAAGGGCACTATTTTTTGTGTCTGGCTTATTTTAGCATAAAGTTTCAAGGTTCATCCATATTGTAGCCTGAATCAGTACTATATTCTTTTGGTTTGATAATATTCTTTTTCTTTTTTTCGTTTTTGGTCTATTTAAAAATATTTTCATTGAAGTCTAGTCAGTTTATAATGTTGTGTCAGTTTCTTGTGTACAGCACAACACTTCAGTTACATAGGAGCATACCTGTATTCATTTTCATATTATTTTTCAACATAAGTTACAATAAGATATTAAATATATTTTCCTGTGCTATACAGTATAAACTTGCAGTTTATTCTATACATACTCATTATCTGAAAATCTTGAACTCCCAATTTATTCCTTCCCACATCCTCTCCCCTCTGGTAACCATAATTTGGTTTCTATGTCTCAGTGTCTGTTTCTGTTCTGTAGATAAGATAATCTTTTTGTTTCTTTGTTTTCGTTTTTGTTTTTGTTTTTGTTTTTAGATTCCACATGTGAGCGATCTCATATTGTATTTTTCTTTCTCTTTCTGGGTTATTTCACTTAGAATGACTTTCTCCAGGTCCATTGATGTTGCTGCAAATGGCATTAATTTATTCTTATTTTATGGCTGAATAGTAGTCTATTGTAGAAATATACTACAACCTCTTTATCCAGTCATCTGTCAGTGGACATTTAGGTTGTTTCCATGTCTTGCTATTGTAAATAGTGCTGCTGTGAACATTGGGGTGAAGGTGCCTTTTTGAATTACGGATCCTTCTGGATATATGCCGAGGAGTGGGATTGCTGGGTCATATGGGAGGTCAATTTTTTGTCTTTTGAGGAACCTTTATACAGTTTTCCACAATGGCTCCACCAAACTGCATTAACACCACAGTGTAGGAGGGTTCCCAATTCTCCGCAGCCTCTCCAGTATTTATTGTCTGTGAACTTCTGAATGATGGCTATTCCGACTGGTGAGAGGTGATGCTTGATTGCAGTTTTGATTTGCATTTCTCTGATAATGATATTGAGAATTTTCTCATGTGCATTTTGGCCATTTGTATGTCTTCATTGGAGAAATGTTTCTTTAGGACTTCTGCCCATTTTTGAATTGAATTGTTTGTTTATCTTTCTTATTAAGTGTAAAAGCGGTTTACATATTCTGGGAATTATGCCCTTGTCAGTTTCATTTATTGCAACTATTTTCTCCCATTCCATAGGTTGTCTTTTTGTTTTGCTTTTTGTTTCCTTTGTTCT